TTTTTTTGTTATTTATATATTATTTTATTGCCATTACCTGTTTTCATACAAAAGTTTAGTTTGCTAAATATATAAAAAATGTTTAGTTGGATATTGGATGTGAAAAGGAAAGATAGAAGATAAATATTTGTGTGTGCTGTAAAGTGGTTTAAAAAAAGGAAATCGGAATCGGCCTAGAAAATTGTAATCGGTGCATCTCTAACTGTAAGTGAGATTCCACCCTCTATGGGCGAGTTGAAAACATGCGGAACAGCTCCTTCTACTGGCTGTAGTCTTTAGCCTCTGACCAAAAAATCGTCATTTTGCGTCATCGGAGGATTTTTTCCAGACAAAAAATACATAAATCTCTCGTCTCAGGGGGATATGAGGGTGGAAAGCACGTTAATTTGAAAATACTACAGGTTTTCTACTAATACAAAGCTTAATGCTAAATCCTGAAGTATCCCTTTAAGCTATTACTTTTAGTAATCATGCAGCTCTACTTTTTTAATGTTATAAAAACTTTAATTTCACTTGATAGTAGACATTCTCAAAAAATAATATATGCAAAGTATTTTAAGCATGATATACATTTAGCATCTGTTTAACTTACTGTCTCCAAATCCTTCGTCTCGGCGTGGTCCTTCATCTTGCTCGCCACTCGGGCGTGCCCTCCAATCAGAATCAGTCTTATCAGGGCCACCGTCCATCCCACGACCGCGATCTCTATCCCGGTCTCGCCCTGACATTGATCCACCATCCCTCTCTGGAGGAAATATGACGTTAAATTTAATCAAGAAAGACACTTTCACAGAGGCAAAAACAATGTGAAGGAGTTTGTATATCATAAGTTCACCTTTGTCATTGGACTGATCTGCGATATCCACCCGGATCCGCCTGTTCCCAAGATTCTACACAAATTTGATACAACATTAATTTAAAACAGAAAACAACAGCAATGCACTGATGTCAGTATTTTATTGATGACCTACCTCTTCATTTAGACTGAGCGCACGCAAGATTGAATCAACATCATCAAATTCAGCATAACCAAATCCTTTAAGCCTTTCTGGGTTATTAGGCTCCCGTGGCAAACGCACCGCACTGATCTGATAATATACACAAAAGACAGTTACAAACAACCTGCACTTGTCAAGCAGTTAAGATATTATAAGTATTATCTAGACATCCCATTTTTAAACATGCATGCAGCGTATCCACTGACCGCAAGTCCCCTAAAGAAGTCTTTGATGGATTCCTCGCTGACATCGTAGGGAAGGTTACCGAGGAAGGCAGTGTAGGGCGGGCCGCGTGGCAGCCGAGAGCGGTCAACGTTTGGCTCCCGTGCTGCACGAGGCGCAGTAGGCAGGATGGAGCGATCGATGGGAGGAGCTCGATATGTATCCTCCGTAGTATGCCAGGAAGTTGAGACTAATGAGGAGGAGAATGGGACTTGATTAATACAGAATACAATTTTAATTGACTGGATTTCAAAATGCATCGGATTCTATTTACACCTGTATACGCAAAACAGATGTTAATAGCACATTTGTCATGCATCTCTTAGCAATGAGTTGGTTTAGATTTTAAAAGTAATGTAGTCCATTCCAGGATTTACTCACCATCTCCATCCAAGTCATCAGTCTCATCTGCCCAGCTGGTAGTCTTCGCGCTGGGGTAACTGGGGGGTGCACTGCCACTGCTATCATTCGCAAGGAAATCAGTCAGGGTCAGGGTCTTCCCCTTCTTCTTATTCTTCTTAGCTAAAGAAAGAATAACATATTCTATGAGAATGCCAAAACTGAGCTATTTCATTATTTGATACATTTATGCATGTTAAAATTCACAATGAAATGAAAGTAGCGACTGATCTTTTCTTCCATGTTGTGGTGTATATGTCAGTGAAAGATTTTTGAAAAGGGGGAAAAAAAAGTAGGGCGGGGACTTGGTTCTATTTAACGGTTGCTGATTGGATGGAGGCCAATCTGAATGCAAGCTTGAGGTTGATTGTAAGAAAGTGGCAGTGATTAAGCGGACTAAAAAAATTGGAGGAGTCCGGTATACGCCAGAGAGAAATCTGTCATTCATTTCACCAGAAAATTAGATCAGAATTATGACAATTTGATTAAGAATTAAAAAGTCAAAAAAGGAAACATGCATGGATGAATTATTTACAATAAGATTAATAACATGCATTTAGAAAACAGGGTGAATTCTCATTTCATGCCCAGTTTGACATTCTAGTAAGAAAAATATTTTGATGTTCCCACCATAGCTTGGCCACATGGTGACAGAGATAACAGACAAAGTAAGATTATGCAAAAAATGGATAGCCTGCCTTAAGTGAAATGTCATTACACTTGTAGAGGATTTCCTCTACAGCAACATCTCAACACCCTAAATTAAATTGTATGAAACCCAAAACAGATGCTAATAGGCTTCACACCACTCATTAAATGTTGATTAATATCACACTTATGCAAAAGACGTGCTGATGCTATGCAACTAGGAAATGAAAAGGTGAGACAAGGCACTCAGTGAGCCTCAACAGGGATGTTGTAAGGGGAGGAGATGGTTCACTCAAATAAAAATGAATGGGAATGTCTAACATGAAATATGGTAGCTTTAGGCCTGCCTTACAGTTAAAAGAGCCAATGATCTTGTTCACATAAGCATTGTCTGTTTATTTCTCTATAACGTATGTGCGTTAATTGGACCAGCCAGAGAAATAGAACAATTTATGATACCACTGGTGTCAGATACTACTGATTCAAAATAGGCCTATCTCTTTCAGCGGTAACATTAACATTCTTATAATTCAGTCTTTCCCTATTCAAAAAGATAGGGGCTGTACTTGCATAAGATGTACTGTGCATCTGCCTGGTTGTACAAGACTTGGAAATAACATTCAATAATCATATTTTGAGATTTAATACATTTAGATTCGTTTTGTTAACTTACTTAGGCACTATTTTTTTGTATGCTATGTCATACTGACACGTCAATTAATATAAGGTAATAAGAGATGTTTTGGTCGTGAATTCCTCGATTATTTTAAGTAATCGATTAAATTAGTGAATGATTCAATAATGACTCAACAGAAATAAGACACTCGCCATCTGCAAGAGTAACGATGTAACTGCACTGAATGAGTCCGTTACCACCTAAAAAACGTTTACAAAATCCCCACCACTACAATCGGTCCAGTCTAAACGAGCACAGAACGACCACGGTTCCGTGCACGTGGTGAACCCTCCGGTCCCTCCTCTGGAACGTACTGCGCATACGCACCAAACACGGGTTATTAGCACCAACCAGAACTTTATGCACTATCATTGAACATAATATTTTAACTCTCCACACACTAACCTTATGAACTACCACGTACATTAAATTACCTGAACATCCGTTTGCGAAACCTTGTCGCGTCCTAAAACTAAGGGGGACAACGAGACAGACGAGGCACATGATTTGGCCGCTAGCACACTGGCTAATTTATCTGAGCATACGGCTACCCCAATGCGACTAATCCATGTTTTCAATGCATTTAACCAACAGATTTAACAGCGCCGCGTTTGAAAAACGGATACAGTGAATGCCATAACCATTACGCTTGAACCCAAGAATGTTACACAAACTTGTTTATAGCTGTTTCGCAAAGAATCCAACAAATATAGGCAGAGCACGAGTGCGCATTATTCTTACCTGACGCCGCCATGTTGGAGAGTGTTCTGGTGGAAGAGTCCCGGATGAAGGCGTCAGGGATTTGTCACGGGGTTAGGCAGGCAGGCATCACACCCTCGCTCACAACCACCACGATAGCATGTTTTAGTAGTTGCACATTGCGAGGATGTAAAAGCTGGTAAAAATCATATCTGAAATAACCATAACAGAAATCCCAGAGATATAAATTGGCATACATATTTTATAAATGGCATATTTTATATAGGCTTATTTAACTTATTGTTTTACTAAAAATATTTTACTTTAAGGTTTTTGTGTGTGTTCTGTAATATGAAATATATAAGAGAGGGGTAGGTAAGCCACACACCTTTATGTTCAGTTCTTCTGTCGTTTCTGCCCCCTTGTACTGTTTGTTGAAAATGGTCATTTGTTGGCTCCTCAAAGGTTGCTAGAAGATCTGTTCTACGTTTATGCATTTTGACAGATGCTTTTATCCAAAGCAACTAACATTACATTACATTGAAAGTATACCGTTAATGCATTCCCTCAGAATAAAACCCATGACTTTGGCCTTGCTAGTGCAGTGCTCTGCTGTTAGAGCTAGAGGAACTGGACTGTTATGCTAAGAATCTCTTTGTATGTCTCTACATCACAATCCATTTCAATGTGTGTTTTTTTTTTTTTTTTTTTTTTGTATACAGTGCACGCTGTAATTCATCTTTGAGAGGCTGAATGACTCCTCAACATTTGTGGTGAGAAAATAAGGGTTAGTATTTCTCAGTATGGGAACTCAATGTGGTTCTCTCAGATTTGCAACTTTCAACAATGGTTAATAGAAATATAACATAACAGTCTGATAATATAATTTTTTTTTATATTTTATCACCTGTTTAGATGACTATTGAGCAATTATTTTATCACTTTATTACTGTACATCATTGTAGCTATACACAAGCATGTGGTTTGTACCATGACAGTATAAACACCTTTCATACATTCGCCCCCTTTACAGCAAAAACTCATTACAAAAGCCAGATGATGCTAAGTATTTATTTAGTCATATAATACAGATTACAAAAGACTTGGATTATATAATCCATTTATATAATATTACTTTGTATGCTTGTATTATTTAGGTATGTTTTTGAAACACGCACGCACACACACACACACACACACACACACAGTTTCATTGCAAATCATTTTTGAAGAAATTAATTTAAATCTGATTCATTCTGTTCTTGTTTAAAATAATATTTTTGAATATCATTTATTTGATGCGAAATATATAGTGCAGGTGAGCCATTTAGAAGATTGTGCGAACCAAGGGTTATCCACTAATCCCCTGCAGAGACAAAAAAAAAAAAAAAAGAGCTGAAGACTTAAGAATTTGAATCATGTTTGAATTGTGTTCCAGAACTATGACCAGTTGTTTATGTATTTCGACTTACTGCATCGCCTTCTATAATCCAAGCAGCAGTTTCTGCTACAGTGATGATTGCAGTTGCAGCGGTTACGGATGTCAAATCTCTCACCACATCTCCCTTGACAAGAGTTTGAGACTACACCAAAAGACATTTAAACAAGCATTATGCAGAGAAGTGGTGTTAAAGGGGTCATGACATGAGAAATCAAAATTTCCTTTATCGTTTGACATATAAGAACCAAAACATCCTGCAAGTTTCATAGCTTAAAACGTCTTCCTCATTATAAGCAAACCATTTATTTAATCAAGCTCCAAAAATGGCTCGTTTTGATATTGCAGGATCTTATGTAACATGGGCAAATATATTTGCATATGACTGCCTTCAGAGCAAGACATCGATGAATACATCATCGCAAAATAGGCCCCATACACTGGCATTCAGTCACTTAATGGCTGACATTTTCCTACACTGGAAGTGTAAGCATTGCGTCAAAAGCAAATAGAACCCATTATAATCACTAATGCTCTTTACAGTGGATACAGTATACAGATGTGCGTTCAGTTTCTGAAATACCACGCACTTTGTCTACAACAGGACAAATAGAAGAGAGAAAGAACGTTGTCTTTGACGTGTCCAGTTTAAATGGATCGTTTGCATCTCTGTGCAGACTTTACAGAAGGATCCCAGGATTGGAAACAACTGGATGGTTTATTTGAATGGTGTCCTGGATCACGTTAGAGGATTATATATATATTTTTGGAGCATTCTGTTTTGTTTAAAGATGAAGCATCCAACTGTATAGGATCCGAAAGTAACTGCATCACAAACCATAAGTAAATTATTTCATAATGCTTTGTCTGTAAATTATGGTTTTATATGGATTGTATTTTCAAAACACTTACTAGTTTTCTAGTTTTTTTTTAATAGTGAGTGGGCGTTGAACCTGTTTTCTATGCAATAACGTTAGCCAATCATAACAGTGGTTGTTTACTGACGGTTGAAAATAATCGTTTAGCCGCATATATATTTGTTTGTTTTTTTGTGCAAAACTCTCTATTAACATTATAAGTGAACCTTAAGGAACATATTAAAATAAAATAAAAAACATGACCCCTTTAAAGGTATAGTCAACCCAAATCTTTTTTAATTTTTGGGTGGACTATCTTGTATAGGAGTGTAGAGTGTGTGTGAGAGAGAGTTACTCTGATTGGGTGGAGGTCTTAGGGTAGTAGTTGTTGTTGTAGTAGTAGAAGTTCTTAAGGTAGTAGAAGTAGGAGATGAAGTAGAAGCGGTTGAGGTGGTAGAAACAGGTTGGCATGTGCTTGAGGGGTTGAAGAAAACGAATCCTGGGAGATTCTGGACAATGGTGGTGGAGATCCAACTCTCATACTGTGAAACACGCGTGTAAACACCAGGTGCGTTGGGATCGGCACAGCCATAACCCCAGCTGGTGATACCAGACTGAACCCACACCAAACATTGCTTGCTCACCATTGGACCTCCAGAGTCACCCTACAGAAAAACAGGGTTTTTTTCTTTATGGGACTAAGTTCTCATCAAACATGGCCAGAAAGAATCACACACATATATAAAAAAGAAGCACAGATAGACGTTTGTGTGTCAAGATATATTAGAAAAACAGAATTGACTTTCAGACATGCAGCATGTTTTGTTGAGCACACTTAAGAATGATCTGGTTGACTGTGGTACCTGGCAGGTGTCTTTGCCTCCCTCCAATAAACCAGCACAGATCATGTTGATGGTAACAGATCCAGAACCCAGCAGAGTATTACATTGACCATTAGCGACCACTGGAACCATAGTTTCCTGCAGAGTCCCAGGAGCAGCTAGGCTCACTGAACAGGGTACACACAAACACACAATCATATATTAATGTTGTTATGAGTAGATGTATGTGTGAACGAATGAGTTTGGATGTGTCTGTACCTCCAGACTGAACATCTCCCCATCCTGTGATCCAGCTGCTGGTGCCAGAAGGGAAGCTGCTGTTCAGTGCTGCCAGACACACGGGTCTAATATAGTCATTAAAGGTAACGGTGGAGGACAGGCGCAGCAGAGCGATGTCATTGTCATGTGTGTTGCTGTCGTAGGAGGGGTGAACGATGATTGTGACGACATTTCTACTGATTTCATTGGTATTGACTCCCTGCTGTGTCCTCCTTCCCAAGTACACACGGAGACTGGATGCACTGACACTGAAAACAGTCAGAGAATACAGTGAGAAAAGAAAACAATATATTCTACCAATTAATGTTTGTTTATGTGAATTTTACCCAGGTAAACAGTGAGCTGCCGTCAGCACCCATTCATTGTTGATGAGGGATCCTCCGCAAAAATGACCTCCATAGGTGGAGCTGTGCAGACTGACCTGCCACGGCCACGACCCATCGGGGGCGTTCACACCACCCACAATACGGGTGTTTAGAGGAGCTTGTCCACAAACTATGTGAGAGAAAGAGAGATTGCTCACACATGCGCATTGTAATATTGTAAATTCATATGAACATCTGAAGAATGAGACAAGCTCTTACCATTCAACTGAGAAAGTGAACCTGCGGTGGAGGAGATGGAAGCACACATTAATGAGGAATGATTTTAAGGACATCCATCTGCATGTGACATCCTCCAACTAAATTAACTGAATTAAATGATCTCACAAGAAACAGGACTATGTCAGACATGTATAGTGCTGATAAAATGTCTACCTTAAACATTAAGTGCAAGTCCTTACCTTGAACAGATAAGAGCAGGGCCAAACTGACACACGTTAACCTCCACATCTTCTCAAACCGTCTCTTGTCTTGCAGAATGGATGGAGATGGTGGATCTGGTTCTCTTTGCCTCTCACAAACCCTTTTTATATTCACTTCTTGAGTCTCTACTTGTCACTTGTTTAATCACTCTAATGTCGCACTAATCTGTTTTTATTATTATGTTCTGCTCCTCGCCCTGTTTTCACAATGCAGACCTGTTAAACATGTATTCTAGAACTAAACATCTTAAATGATAAATGCATTTTATTTCAGAGATTAAGAGTTTTGTTCATTTCTGTCTTATTTGGGCAGGGTGTTCATGTTATTTAATCATTTGATGCCTTTTGTTCCAACTTAGAATAATTAGTCACTCTAATATATCCTAGACAATAATAATAATGTAATATATATATATATATATATATATATATATATATATATATATATATATATATATATATATCAATTTAATAAATAAAATCAAATATATAAACAAACATATCTTGCATTATATTTTACACAGAATATTACTGAAATCTACCAGATATACAAATGAAGACTTCAGATGCAAAAGCCTCTAAGTGCCATCTGGAATTTCCTTCTAAAATTAGCATTTTTATCAAGCTCGTATATTTAGGTTCAGTAATTTCACTTTAATGACAATCAATAGGTAATTTTCATTGCCATTAAAGTGAAATAACTGAACATAAACATACAAGCTTGATAAAAATGATCACTCTAGAAGAAAATTTCAGATGGCACTTAGAGGCTTTTGCATCTGAAGTCTTCAAATATATATGGTAATACTTTAATTTAGGGTCCAATTCTCACTAGTTGCTTATTAGCATGCATATTACTAGGATATTGGCTGTTTTAGTATTAGTTCTTATAAAGCACACATTAATGCCTTATTCTACATGACCATATTCTACATCCCTTAACACTAGAAGTGCCAGAATTCCATAACTACTAGAACTGCCACAAGCGGTCATTTTGACCGCTAGATTCCAAACTCTATATATTTAATGATAAATACCCAATTGAAAAATTAATGCATTTATTGTTTTAGGATATATATCTTTTAAAAACAAAACAACACCAAACTGTACATTTAAACAAGTTTAATTGATTTATAAATAATAAAATCATTAGTAGCCTACCATAATTATCGCATAACAACAGATAGCTATATTTCCATATCTATTCAATATAACTCAGAACAAGATAATAACAACTAAAAGTATCTTATTTAGATATTCTGTTGACAGTGAGAGAGACAAAGATCAACCGCGGGAAATATAACAAAAGAATACCGCGAAATTCAGTGCGGTCAATATGACCGTCTATGGCCGAAATAGCTAAATATGTTCATTCGTTTTTTTTGCCTTATGTGTAATTTATATGAAAAACATTTTAAATAAAAATAGACACTTTTAGGAAAATATATTTTTTTTTTTTTCAACAAAGTTATTGCATATAAAGTTCAAAACGGTCAAAATTACCGCCATGGCCGTTCTAGTGTTAATCCCAATACTACTAATGTTACTAATGATTAATAAGCTGTAATTAGGAGCTTATTGAAGCAAAAGTCTTAGGCCCTATTTTGACGATCTGAAACGCAAGTATCAAACGCGAAACGCAAGTAACTTTGTGGGCGGATCTCGGGCGCTGTTGCTATTAGGCTATACTCTTGTGCCCGGCGCAAATCTAAATCAGGGTTGGTCTGAACTGAAGTAGCTACATTATTCATAGGTGTGGTTTGTGCGTAACGTGCAATAAACCATCAGAGCGTCATCTCACATTCCCTTTAAAAGCCAAATAGAGGTCTCTGCAGACGGTAAGAGGAGTTACCAGATCAGGGGGCGAGGCCATAAACAGAGGGGCGTTTTCAACCGCGTTACCTGATTTGCCCACGTCACAGTGTGGGTAGGTCTTAGGGGTGGGGTAAGGAGAAGAACATAATTTTCATTGCATGATTTATAAACACCTACCAGTGTGAAAACACCCACAAATTTAGAAACACCCACTTTTGTTCCGCAGACACCTCCTACTCAAGCAGGCGCTCTTGTTCCATGGCGGATTGCTATTACAATGGCGGATTTACCAGGTGCACGCCATGAGCGGTTCACAGCCGAGGAGACCGACATTCTCGTCAGGGCCGTAAAAGACAGAGAAGTGACATTGTATGGGGATGGGAGAAACCCACCCAAATTAGCTTCGGTTAAACAGGTAAAACTAAGATTTATGCCTATTTTTTTTTCACATCTTCATGGACACCACAATGATTTCCCTCGTGTGGTAATATTTTTTAATTATGTAGCCCTATGGTTTGCAAAAATGGGATCTGCTGTGTCTGTGTAGCCTAGATGAGAGAAGCAAAGTGTTTGCGCGTTGTGCACACGCTACATTATGGCCAAGCATCCACTAAAATAGCATCTGAATAACCGCCACTGACTTTAGTTTTTCCTGGTCTGTGGCGTAATTGTTTTCTGAAACTGCAAAATATCACCAGGGAACGTTTGAGCCGGAACACGCCTCCTCTTTTCGCTGAACCGCCCCCGGGAGGAGTAGCATCTGCCTGCAGTCCCGGAGGCTGCATTTTCAGGACCCCACTTCTAGGACCGCATTTCTAGGACCCTAGGTTTTTAGTGACAACGCCACCTACCGAATTAGAGGACCAGCGAAAATGGATGACATTCAGAGTGTGAGTATCAAATGCGAATCAATTTTTATTTGTTTAACTTTAAAAACAATTGTGATGCATTTCATTGGAAAGTTAACGTTGCCAACGTGCTGGTGATTTGCTAAACAGTCTTGAATGCATAGCCATCATATATTAGCCTCTAATGCTGGAAAATGAAATACTACGGTTCATTTAACGGAGCTGTTGCATGATAGGCTAAGCCTGTGTTGACTTACTTACAGCACAATAAACTGTACCATGTTCGTTCTGAAAGCTTGTTAATTACTCATTGTTTTTCCATTTTAATTCAGTTAAAATAATCGTAATGTTTTCACTGTCACGTGCTCACAGTAAGCCTGTTAACGTTACCCACAATACATGTTATGTGTACGTCTCTTCATTTTGACATGGTTTTATAAAGTTGGTTGAGACATATGACATTTTAATAGTCAGACATATCAGAGAGGCCATTATAATAATTGACTGTTAAAATCCCACGTGTTAGATTGTGTCATTTACTGTATAGGCCTACTTATATATGGTCAGGAAAAGTCGTGTCAATAATGTTATTTCTATTCAGATTTCTTGCATCTCTCTCTATTATTTTTTTCTCAGTTCAGATGGGCTTTATTGACATGAGTGTTTCTAGAACCTTTGTTCCCACAACATCAAAATCATTTTTTTTTCCAAATCTTTGAACAGTATGCAATAATTGTATTATGAACAGTAATTGGTATGAAGATTGATATCATTATTTTTATCATTATCATTACTCTGTGGTAACTAAGATCTTTTAAATATGAAATTTAAAATTAGAGAGTAGAACATGTTCAACTAAATGTTCCTTATTTAATTCACTTCTCTTTCTCTCTCTTAGGAGTCAGTGATGATGTTGTCCATGTGTTTGTCCATCCATTGAAGTGGTTCACGTCATGATCAAATTTGTTTTTGTGTGTGTTCAAGTTCAGTTGTTAAAATATTATTTTGTAAAATATTTTGTGTGTTCAATTTCAGTTGTTATATATTATTTTATAAAAGATTTTGTGTGTTCAAGTTCAAGTGTTATATATTATTTTGTAAAATACACAATCTTAAATCTACCCCCTGAGTCATCCTTGTCTTCCCTCTGTACTTGAAAATGTGGTCCATCGAGTGACTGAAAAGGCTATAACATGATTCCTTGTTTATTTTACTTGAGTTATATTAAAGTATGCTACTTAGACCCAATTTCTCAACATTCCTAGGAACCTGGTTTAATTGCAATAAAGAAAGTAGTATTTGGGTGTAATAAAACTTTTTAAAAAACTCTAATGTAGTTAAAACTGGGTGGAGATACTGCCTTGGTGGCACTTTTTTCGTTCCTCCAAACTAGGGTCCCGGAAATGCGTTCCTGGGACTGCGGTTCTCCGACTCGGTAGGTGGCGCTGTCACAAAAAAACTAGGGTCCTAGAAATGCGGTCCTAGAAGTGGGGTCCTGACATAGACAGTAAAAGAAATGGACAGAGCGATCTCATTGGAACTCAGTTGAGACAGTTGAAGCCCACTTTTAGCGATTTTTGAGAACTTCCGTTCCTGACGCGCAGACTCAAACCGACTCAAACTAAGCTTGATGACGTGAGCAACCTGTCTGACAGACGTTAATCTTCTAGTAGCTGTGCGTGAAAACTGCCAACGTTAATCTTGCAGAGACGGGGAACTTGAGCAAAGAGTTCTTTGGCGTGAGTGAGCAGGAGTAAGTATTCCGTTGCTTTTATGGACTCATTATCTATGGGCTTCTCCCTTGACGGGACGTCCCCCCGAGTGCCTGCGAGCTTCTCCTCCTGTCTGTACGGTCATTTCTGTACAGCGCGACAGAGAGTCGAGTGGTTATGACGCAATCGTTAGCCTATTTTTACTAAAACTGTTTCATACGGGGCCATAGTGTAACATAGAAGGTAATGGAGCCCTTTATACATTGTCGTGTTTCTTTAGAAATAAATAATGGACAAATGGAGTCTTTAAACGCCTCAGATGTAAAGTTATTCGCTGTCAAAGTGACGCAAAAATCAATGGGAGTCAATGGAAATGCTAACGCAAGTGAAGTTCTGCTACAACATGGCGGCACCCGGCCGGCTTCAACTTCCGGTCGATGGATTACCCCCTTGGGTCCTGAAAATGCAGCCTCCGGGACTGCAGGCAGATAATATTGCCCGGGAGCGCAAGTTCATTCCCTAATTTACCGACGTGCGTCTGTGGAGGGAAAAGTCAGCTGTGCGTCGGGTGCAAAATAGGAATGATAGGCCTACATGCGTCGGTGTACAAAGTCAATAGTGCTGGGTGCAAGACAGGGCCCTTAGTGTTAGTTAATAGCAAGAATTGGACCCTAAATATATATCTTTTAAAAATGGAAATATAATTAGGCTATATTATATTCAAATTATGTCAGTGTTTATCAGCTTGTTTTCTTGCTTCCTCTCTTTGATTATTTATCGCCAAAATTGTGGTAGTTGATGTAGTTTGAAAAATTAAATCATTATGAATATTTTTTCCGCATGTTATTTCTGGGTTTCTTCATTTCATTTCATTTTTTTTATTTTTTTATTAGGATCCCCATTAGCGGCCCATTTAATGGCAGCTAATCTTCCTGGGGTCCTCTTTAAAATATTCACAACATAAAATTATACAAAGCAATAACAACACAAAGTACAATCAAAAAGAATTCAAACATTGCAATTACATACAAAATATTACCAAGTAAAATAACATGACAATTTCCAGCTTTCACGAGGTCATTTGCAGCAATTCCTGGGTTACTGTCCTCTTAAATTTATATTTGTTCTGAATTCTCCGTGATGAGACAGAGAGTCGATTCCAAATAGATATTGCTCTATAAAGTGAAGATTTAACATTATAAAATGGATTGCTTGAATTGGTAAAGCACTAGTTGCAGCACTCACTGAGTCACCTGCCCTGATACACTTTTACAATGACTAAAATTCACAACTGCCACATGCTGTTACTTATGTCACAATTAGTGTCTTTAATACTGTCAATTTTCTACTTGTCTTTCACCAACACCTTTTTTTTATTTATCACAAATCCAGATAAACTGAGCTTAGTTTAATTGCTGTGTGAAGACAAATGTCTTCTCTAAATAATCAAATCATGCATGCTCTGTATTTTATTATATGAAAAGAAATCAAACTGTTTATGTAAATGTATATATTTTGGATCATTTTATTATTCAAACATTACATAAAATCAATGAAAGAGAAACTAAATTGGCTATTTCATCACTTACTCTAACATTTAAAACTATGCGTGTGAATTTCTATATAGTTTCCATTACTTTTGTAGATCTGAGGCCTATTGTGATTTTTTTTCCATTGTGATGTGTAACAAAGCATGGCTGAATAGAACTGTTTTTTAAATCATTGATTTAAATAGTAACAGAAGTGTTTCTGTCTTATGTGTGACATCAGGAGCAACCTATCTATTTGTATCTGCTCTGATATAATTGATGTCATTTATTATTTACATTTGACTTTAAATCTTTAAGAAAATCAGTTTCCACCGTTCTTTAAGGAATACAAAAAAAAATCATGTTTTTGTGTCTTTTTTACCATGCAGTGAATGATTAAATATACAGAATGGTGACTCAGAGCCACTGTCGAAAGTCAAGCAGGTTTGGGAAAAATTAGCTTTTGGGCGAGCAAATTATGCACTTTTGGGTGAACTAACCCTTTAAGATTTAACATGAACACCTTACTCCATTTAGACAGATTAACAAAACTCATAATCTCTGAAAACAAAACTTGCATTTAAGATCTTTGTTTAGTGAATTTAGTTCTAGAATACATGTTTAACAGGTCTGCATTGTGAAAACAGGGCAAGGAGCAGAAATGAATAATAAAAACAGATTAGTGCGACATTAGAGTGATTAGATGAGTGATAAGCAGAGACTGAAGAAGTGAATATAAAAAGGGTTTGTGAGAGGCAAAGAGAACCAGATCCACCATCTCCATCCATTCTGCAAGACAAGAGACGGTTTGAGAAGATGTGGAGGTTAACGTGTGTCAGTTTGGCCCTGCTCTTATCTGTTCAAGGTAAGGACTTACACTTAATGTTGAAGGTAGAAACTTTATCAGCACTAACCTTTCTGCAATGCTCCTCTTTCTTGTGAGGTAATTTAATTTAATTAATTTAGTTGGAGGATGTAATATGCAGCTACAGTAACATAAACATTTTTCTCTCAAATGTGTGCTACCATCTCTTCCACCGCAGGTTCACTTTCTCAGTTGAATGGTAAGAGCTTGTCTCATTCTTCAGATGTTATATATATAGTCATTGCACAGAAATGTTCATGTGAATAATCTCTCTCACTTTCTCTCTCATAGTTTGTGGACAAGCTCCTCTAAACACCCGTATTGTGGGTGGTGTGGATGCCTTTGAGGGGTCGTGGCCGTGGCAGGTCAGTCTGCACAGCTCCACCTATGGAGGTCATTTTTGCGGAGGATCCCTCATCAACAATGAATGGGTGCTGACGGCAGCTCACTGTTTACCTGGGTAAAATTCACATCACAACTATTCATCCAAACAGGCTCTGAGAGATCGTTTTTACACTATTGATTCATTTTCGCATTTTTTCAGTGTCAGTGCATCCAGTCTCCGTGTGTACTTGGGAAAGAGGACACAACAGGGAGTCAATACCTATGAAATCAGTAGAAATGTCGTCACAATCATCGTTCACCCCTCCTACGACAGTCAAACCAGCGACAATGACATCGCTCTGCTGCGCCTGTCCTCCACCGTTACCTTTAATGACTATATTAGACCCGTGTGTCTGGCAGCCCAGACCAGCGTCTTCAGTGCCGGCACCAGCAGCTGGATCACAGGATGGGGAAACATTCAATCTGGAGGTACAGATACATACAAACTCATTCGTTCACACATACATCTACTCATAACAACACTAATATATGATTGTGTGTTTGTGTGTACCCTGTTCAGTGAGCCTAGCTGCTCCTGGGACTCTGCAGGAAACTATGGTTCCAGTGGTCGCTAATGGTCAATGTAATACTCTGCTGGGTTCTGGATCTGTTACCAACAACATGATCTGTGCTGGTTTATTGGAGGGAGGCAAAGACACCTGCCAGGTACCACAGTCAACCAGATCATTATTAAGTGTGCAAAACAAAACATGCTGCATGTCTGAAAGTCAATTCTGTTTTTCTAATATATCTTGACACACAAACGTCTATCTGTGCTTCTTTTTTATATATGTGTGTGATTCTTTCTGGCCATGTTTGATGAGAAGTTAGTCCCATAAAGAAAAAAACCCTGTTTTTCTGTAGGGTGACTCTGGAGGTCCAATGGTGAGCAAGCAATGTTTGGTGTGGGTTCAGTCTGGTATCACCAGCTGGGGTTATGGCTGTGCCGATCCCAACGCACCTGGTGTTTACACGCGTGTTTCACAGTATGAGAGTTGGATCTCCACCACCATTGTCCAGAATCTCCCAGGATTTGTCGTCTTCAACCCCTCAAGCACGTGCCAACCTGTTTCTACCACCTTACCTGTTTCTACTACATCTCCTACTTCTACCACCTCAACCGCTTCTACTACCTTAAGAGATGTACCCTCTTCTACTACCTTAAGAACTTCTACTACTTCAGCAACTACCCTAAGACCTCCACCCAATCAGAGTAACTCTCTCTCATACACACTATACACTCCTGTACACATTTATGCATCCTTAACACCACTCACTTCTAATGCTTGTTTAAATGTCTTTTTGTTGTAGCCTCAATTTCTTGTAGAAAGAGATGTGGTGAGAGATTTGACATCCGCAACCGCTGCAACTGCAATCATCACTGCCGCATAAACTGCTGTAGGGATATGCAAAAGCGATGCAGTAAGTCCATATACACAAACAAATACACATGCAACTGTTTATGGTGCTTATAGTTCTGAAATAAAATTCAAATCACTGAATCAGTAAGTTACTCCAGCAATATCACACAATCTCTGTATGTTTTTGTGTCTCTGCAGTGGGTCACTGGTAACTCTTGGTTGGCACAAGCTTCTACGTCTCTCTCTCTCTCTCTCTCTCTCTCTCTCTCTCTCTCTCTCTCTCTCTTTCTCTTTCTCCATATATATATATATGTTTTCAGTTTCTTCATACATTCTATAAGCTGTCCATGTACAGCTTATAGAATAAATATTTCTTCAAATCAGGACAAAAGTACTCAGATTTCTCTATTCAGACTAAAGATTTATTTTAAATCAAATGTGTCAAAAAAACTAAATTTCTAATTCATGTAGCATACAAAATAATATGAAAATATTTGTATTATAAATATATCAGCATTAAGTGATAATATAATTTGAGTCTGTAATCTGTATCTGTATAAGTGACTAAATAAAGACTTTGCATCACATGGCTTGTAAAGTCTTTTGCTGTAATAAATTACACCAACAGGGGACGTTGTTTTACAATTGAAAAGTGTCACTAGGACAGTCACATAGAAAAGAATAAACTGATTAAACACAGTAATCATAAAACTCATGATCAATTACTGATAACTTTTGGTCAGTGGAGGCTGTTTAGATGTTGAGGTACTGCTATGATGAAACACTGGCATGTTCAAACCATTAATGAGTAAAGATGTCATTTTCCATTAACTTTTGTAAAGCTTTGTTTCTAACAAAACAGTGACTTTCCACCACCACCACCAAAAAAAAAAAAAAAACCTAAGATTTTTTTATAGTACTGTAGTTGTATTTCAAAGTATGAAAATTTCAGCAAAACATAATGACCAGCAATGTTGTTGAACAAATTTCTGAAAACAACAAAGATAATGTTAGTTTTAAGTATCCTAGTGTGTTAATGCTAAACACACCCAAAGGTCATTGTGAACTCATGTGAGATTAATAAACACATGTGCAGCATTTTCATTAGAATAACTAAGCTTTTTTATAGATCTTCATTTTTCCATAATCTTTAGTTGTAAATATGCAACTGTGCTTATTTATTTCCTCATTTGTGCTATATTATTGTAAATCAAGTATATGGAGGCATTCTAAAAACAAAATCCCATTTTAATACATCTGTTAGGATGCGTAAGTGACAAACTACAGTAGTCAACATTTGAAGTGGATCAAAACCTTTCATCAAAGTTATACATGAATTACAACAATACCCGTTCTTGTCTTAGGACAACTTTGATTCAATTTTTTGATCCACTTCAAATGTTGACTACTGTATAGAGTAACTACTAGAATCTTATAATAATGTTAAAAATGAATACAATAATGATGTTCAATAAATCATGCTGATGATGTTGTGTAGTGGTAAAAATGTCATCAAACAGTAAAAGCTTACTCACGTAAAGCATTCAATAACGAAACTTGTGGCAATTACAAGGTAACTAGGAACAAGGATATAATAAATCACCACGCAATTCACGTAACATCTCTTGGAAGGGGGAAGTTATTTTAGGAAAGGTAGTTCATGATAAGATTCAGGATGAGGTCATGGTCTATAAGGAAGTAGCAACAAAAAGACAGCTGGCAGTCTTGAATTCATTAGAGGATACACAATTGACTTACTACCATGATATATACAGTTACTCACAAGGTGATAACATTTATTTCTAGAGTGAGCATTAATCCAATCTGACATTAATTCCTAAAGAAGTATTTTTCTACCCTGTGGTTTCTTTACAACAAACACGACGGTAATCCATACAACCTCCCCAGTTGACGAAACCTTCAGAAGTGAAACGATAGGTGTGTGTGTGAGAAAAAAATATTATGAAGTAATTAGTAATTACAGTACTAATGAGTTAATTTATGGACTGATGGACCATATACTAATAAATTACAAAATATTAGTCAAAAGCTGTTTCTAACAATTCAAATAAAAACACATAATGTGACCCAGCACTAACTCAAGTGTTATTTTAGTATCATTGAGATTTAATTATATTTTTTAGTAATATTTTTTTTTTGTCATTTTATTATTTTTATTTCAGTTTTAGTTATTTTAGTAGGCCTACAAGTTAAACTAAATGAAAATGTGAATTTTTTCAAATATATTATTTGAGTCAAAATTGATCTTATTTCAAGTAACAAAAGTTTTTTTTTTTATGGTTTTAGTTTTAGTTTACATAACTTAACTACATTGTGCCATTTAGAGCACTGGCATCCGGATTTGGTAATCAGGAAAAGTACGATGGATTACCTGATCCTGAATAGAAAAACATGGAATTTCCAAATTCGGATCATACTGATCCTGATTAAACTTTATATGAACAACTTGGGCCAAAGCATCAATGAAAGCGTCATTATCATATTTTGCATTCTTTTGATATTCAAATTCCATTGCATATCTCAGTACGTTTCACTTTGAAATGGCTTAAGGCAATTTTTTTACAGTCAGTGGCAGTACCAGTTACTAACAGCTTCAATGTATTTTTGTCATGAAGTTTCTTGAACATCAGAAAGTGACATTTTCATTGTACAGCGAACTCTTTTATCACAAAAGGTCAAGATTTCTCATGATATCACCCTAACAGTGAACCAGCTTCAGAAAAATACAATCCTCCAATAAAATGTTAATCTTGACCCCAACTGAACATTTGCCAAAACACATACACACATAAACATCACTCAACAAATCTCTAACACTTGGCTATGCATATTTACCAGGTATAATTACATTATGTGATGTTACATAAGCACAGTCTTAGGTTTATCTCTCCTTAAACAGTCTATTCTCTTGTTCCTTGTTTCAGCAGCTTTTTCCACATGATGACTTGCTATTTTGAAATTCCTTAGAAATATTCCTGTCATTGTAACTGCTTCCAACATGCGTCATCTCAAATGTACCATATTGACATGAGTTCAGTGCATATGGCTTAGAAGAAAAGTGCTTCTCAACAGGATTTCAGGTCCTTTGTATGGTTGTCAACATCTATTAATATTTTGGACTCACGCTATACTAAAAGACAAACACTTTTGTAAAGACCTGAAAATAACTGAATGTACAGAATTTTAATTACCATTATTTAGTAGGTGTTGTTGCTGATACCGTTCTGTTATTTATATGAACAATAAGCAGTCATTTAGCAGACACTTTTATCCAAAGCAATTTAAAGTTTTCTGAATATAGAAAAATCCCCATGCGGGAACCGGAGCTTCAAGGCAAGAATAGTTATTTTCATTCCCACAAACTAGCTGTCTTCTGATTACCAGCCCTGAGTTTAGCCATTGTCACACCTGCCCTATTTTGTAAATTAATTTTGGTGTCTGTTTAATCCAAGAGACTTTAAGTAAAAACAAAATATACTTTTGCAATGCCACCTTTTTAAAGTCACTGTTGTGAGTGACAGAGTGTTATTAAAATGTTTTATCTGAATAAGTTCTTGATACATTCAATACATTTTGAATGTGATAATAATTTGTTTGTTGAATTGCAATCTGTGTTAAACATTTTAAAAGTAGAGGTTTTAATGAATACTGTATTACTGGTGGTTCAGCATATGGTTGATTCTTTATGTGGTTCAATGTCATTTTGTATTTTTTTTTAATCCATAAAAATGCAATTCAGGGGGTTTACCAAGAATTTTTTTTTTAATAGTAAACTAAGGCTTTTCATTAAAATTTGATATAGAATTAACATGAATACAAACAAAACAAAGAAATACTCCCCATAATAGTCGACAAAGTCATAAAATCCTGTTTTGTTATCCTTGCGCCCTTGAAAAAGTACTTCAATAAAGGATAATCTGATTCACAAACAACAAAGTAATTCTATATTTGCGGTGTCTTATAGGATTCTACTGTCTCCTATATGAAGCCTTTTGATCTCTGATTAATGAGCACATTTTAAGACAATTCGATGTTAGGCTGATAGAAGGCTTATTCTAAGGCCAACTTTCAGGATTCTGTATTCTTTATGTTGCCGGATCTTAAGATATGTGATGTCACAATTATGTTAAGAGGTGAGAGAAATGGAGGGGAACCTGATAGCCAGACTGATCACGTCTGCACAGACACTGGACAAACAAACAAAAATATTAAAGAGATCCAAGACACTGTAAAGCATATAATCTGTTAAAAGTTTGGAAACATTAAATTTTTTTTATGTTTTTGAAAGGAGTCTCTTCTGCTCATTGCTCACCAAGGCTGCATTTATTGAATCAAAAATAGAGTAAAAACAGTAATATTGTGAAATATAATTACATTATAATTAAACATAATAATTAAATAACATAATTAAAAGAACTGGTTTTTAATATTAAAAAAGTAGTTTATTTATCTGAAAAAAAAATGTATTCATGTGGTTGCAAAGCGGAATTTTCAACATCATTACTCCACTCTTCTGTCACATGATCATTCAGAAATCATTCTAATATGTTGATTTGCTGCTTAAGAAACATTTTTTATTATTATGATCAATGCTGAAAGAAAACAGCTGTGCTGCTGAACATTTTTGTAGAAATGGTGATTTTTGCACTACTGAATATAATAGTAGGCCTATTATATGTTAATAATAGCTATAATTTATTAATTCCGCACTTTTTTGTTATACTTAATTCAAAATAAAATATTATTGTTTTAATAATAGCCTATCCATTTCTGATAATCCCAGGTATGGTCACGCAGGGTAGTTCTCGTGGCCACGAGAAATAGCTATAGATGTCGTTCCCACAACATGATGTCGTTACCTCGACAAAATGATCTCTTGGTCATGACATATTATCACATAAACTTTAAATTTAAAGTTAAAATCTAGACTAAATACATCTTAATAGCCAAGCATTTACATAATACATCTCTTAACCTTGTTCTATATCAGATCAAATGCACAAGATTATCTTTGCTTGAAATGTTATGAACAGCAGCTAATTATTTTTCATTTGTTTTTCTGTTTTATCTTGGGATGCCCATCCCGATCAAGGTAACTAGAGTATGTGCGCTTCAGTTCTTCGCTTCTGTCCTCTTATGAAGACTTTCCGAAGACACAAACTCTGAATCAACATGCACCAATGCTAAATTTCTATATATTGTAGCCAGGCTAATCATTATGTTCACAACTTGTTATAATCACTTCAATGAGCTAATTTTTTTGCCTAAAATGTATATGATAGCTAACTGCGTGATTTGTATACATTTCTGAAATATATTACTTGGACACAGATATGGAACACAGACTTGGAAACAATATGAATTGTGAAAAGCGCTATTCAAATAAATGTGAATTGAATTGAAGAGAATGACAAAAAATTGAGGTGGAGCATAGTGGGCATGTGAGTGAGTCATGAAAGGAGTAATTTGAGAAGCACAACTATATAAAAGGGACTGTAAGAGTCACTTTGTACCAAATTACCACCAGCATCCTGCTAAGGAACAGAGTGACTGTGTGAAGATGTGGAGATCAACGTGTGTGACTTTGACCCTGCTCATGTGTGTAAAAGGTAAGGTCTCATGATATATCTGTTAAAGCGACGATAACATAGACATAATACATAGAAAAACTATATATTTAAGTATATATAAAGTAAATATATATTTGTTTTCTTTGCACATAAGAGCAGTCTAAGGCCTATGAAAATACTCATTACCATTAAACTTACAGTTCAGTAAGTGAATCATGTTGATTCATTTGTCTGATTCATTTGACCGGTAACTCATGGATTAGTGAGTTATTTTAAAGCTGGAGTTTGTAACTTTTGGTGCTCTAGCGGTTAATAAACAGAACTGCATGCGTCTTGGGGAAGAACATTGTCACTATTCTTTCATAAGATACTAAGCAAAGTTTGGGATTTCTGAACTGCAGCAATGATCATGAGAGATAATATATAAATTCTCTTTCTGGGTCATATTCTGTTAATAATGCAAGAACAGAAGAAGCCTATAAATGTTTTACATTGTGAGTAACGCCTACTGAAATGTACTCGCAGGACATGCATGGGGCTAATGTCACTTGTTGAATAGTTGTGGAAAAGAAGGCTGTTAATTGTGCTTATTGTGTGTAATTAAACCGGTTTGCCCACAGATGTTTTACCCATGTTCAGTCTCACAAGTTTAATCTATCATTATTAGAGCAAGGATCTCTGACAGGGTCATTATTAAGGGAAAGGTTTAATTGAATTTTTCTCATTTCTTTCTGTCCTTGCAGGTTCACTTTCTCAGCTGAATGGTAAGAGCTTTTCTCTTTCTTCAGATGTTGACATCAAGTCAAATAGTTAATGTAGATATGCTAATGTGAACAATCACTCTCCTCTCTTTCTCTCTCCTAGTTTGTGGACAAGCTCCTCTAAACACCCGTATTGTGGGTGGTGTGAACGCCCCCGATGGGTCATGGCCGTGGCAGGTCAGTCTGCACAGCTCCACCTATGGAGGTCATTTTTGCGGAGGATCCCTCATCAACAATGAATGGGTGCTGACGGCAGCTCACTGTTTACCTGGGTAAAATTCACCCAAACATGCAGTTATTTAGTTTTAATTAGTAAAATGTACTTGGTGTATTGTTTTGTTCTTTTCTCACTTTCATGTTCTCTGACTGTATTCAGTGTGAGCACGTCCAGTCTGCGTGTGTACTTGGGAAGGAGGACACAGCAGGGATCCAATGCCAATGAAGTCATGAGAACTGTGAGAACGAAAATCGTTCACAGCTCTTACAACAGCAACACAAATGACAATGACATCGCTCTTCTGCGCCTGTCCTCCACTGTTACCTTCAATAACTACATTAAACCTGTTTGTCTGGCAGCCCAGACCAGCGTCTTCAGTGCCGGCACCAGCAGCTGGATCACAGGATGGGGAAACATTCAATCTGGAGGTAGAAATCATCCATTAATTCACATATGCATCAACTTATAACATCACTAATTAGTAATTATTATATGTGTGCTTGTGTACGTTCAGTCACCCTACCTGCTCCTGGGACTCTGCAGGAAACTATGGTTCCAGTGGTCGCTAATGATCAATGTAATACTCTGCTGGGTTCTGGAACTGTTACCAACAACATGATCTGTGCAGGTTTAACGCAGGGAGGCAAAGACACCTGCCAGGTACAAAAAAAAAAAAACAGATTATAAATACACATTAAAGCGTGTACAGCTACTGCATAACATATAATGCACTTCAAGACCTGTATATTTCTGGGATTCACATTGCTCAATTAGTGTAAATGCTTGATGTTGAATAGCTCCAGTAGTGTAAATATATAAAGGGCTGTAGTGCTCCTGTGGGGCACAGGTTGTTAACTGTCCTAATAAAAAAGTCCCCAAATAAAAAACATCTCCTTTGTCTTTCTTTTTGTCCCTCTTTGTAGGGTGACTCTGGTGGGCCAATGGTGAGTCAGCAGTGTACAGTGTGGGTTCAGGCTGGTATCACCAGCTGGGGGTATGGCTGTGCCGATCCCAACTCTCCTGGGGTTTACACCCGCGTGTCTCGATATCAGTTTTGGATCACGAACAACATCGGTCAGAACCTGCCGGGATTTGTCACCTTCAACCCCCCAAACTCATGCTCCTCTGCCAGCCTAAGTAAAACTCTCTCTCAGACACACACATATATCCACTCAAAGCATACTTGTTTGATTAATGCTTATTTGTATGTGCAGCCTCAACCTCCTGTAGGGGAAGATGCAACGAGAAGTACAACCCTTCAAATCGCTGCAACTGCAATACTAACTGCACGACAAAATGCTGCAGTGATTATAGACAGCGCTGTGCCGGTAAGCCCGAACACATTCATTTCCATAATACACAAAAAAACACAAACTTCACTTATAAAAGAGTTGTTGTCTTAAAAACAAAATATCAAACCATGTGGCATCAGCAAACTAATGGTGTTAGTCACTTTCCCAGATTACTTTACTTTTTTCCAATTACTTTTAAATGACTGGTCTTGAAGCGATTGTTAATGGACGTATGAAGTCAGTGTTTTTGTCTTCATTTTGAACAGTATATATTGTTTTGTATTATATTCATTTAAAACCTAACAAAAGTTATTTTTGTGAAATGTCTTGCTTTAAAAATGTTTATTTATTTAAAATAAATGCCACTTGCTTTGATTTTTTGATCCGGATATACAGATCCAAATATGTTTTATTACTACTGCACACCATAACATGCATTAAACAAACTTTGCTTGTCGAAAATGTAAAGACCAAAAGTAAATCTTTCTTGCTCCAAACTCACTTTTGTTTTTGTGTCTCTGCAGTGTGAAGTATGTCATAACTCCCTGGATTATTCAAAAACAGGTTTATAAGCACCTCACTTGCACACAAGTCAGGTGCTAAAAGATCTTTATGCCTGTTCTGCCAGAGATTTTACTTCAGCGCTGCTTTGGAAACGTTGCACAGTGCAAACAGTCTGTCACAGATTGGCTTCACTGACTACACTCAGGGGTGTAAATGTATATTGTTTGTGTTCAACATAAGTTTAACAACAGCACGTACCTCACTCCGGTACCTCTCTCTCGTTTGTTTTTCTCTCTTTCCAGTTGTAGCATGTAACCAGCTAGATTAATTGTAGGCACTTGAAACTTTTTTCTTCACTTAGTAGCATATGCACATTTCTAATATAAAAATGTTATATATAATAATGACTTGGAATTTAAAATTGATTGTGATCGCAATACATTTCTGCTGACAAATAAGTGGGTATTACTTTGAATTTAAATTCATATTTATTTCTCTGAATTCTTGAACATGTGTAATTATAATAAGCAATGTATAATGATGTCATTGCTTTATCAGAATCATTAAATACTTCAAAACACAGTTTTAATGATGTTTTATTAACAAAGTTCGGGAGGAACATCCCTCCGCCACCTCACTATTGGCTGGTTCCTATCCCAGCCAGGGATACGGGGGAGTAGCTACTGTGTTCAGACCAAATTTTTAGCTCTGAGCCCTCCACAAGACGGCACGCCCGAGAAACTCTTGCTCGTATATACTCTTGTGTACTGTATGTTAATTTTTCGTGTTTTCTTGTCGTTCATTCGTCATTTTTTTGCTTCGCTTACTCTGGCATTGCATTTGTGCATTTTGGGGGCTGATTATGAAAGGAGGGCTGTGTTTGTTTGGATTGATTTAAAATGTCAACAGTGTTCAACAACGATTTTAAAATTGCATACTGCACCTTTAAAGGGATAGACTACGTTTTCTTTCCGAGTTCATACATAGAAGTAAAACTTGTAAAAAGCATTCACGTCCTCGTAGAACTCATTGGAAGTTGTAAGACTGGAAAAACTGGTTGAAGAGATAGACCTTACCACTGGTCTATGAGACAAAGGACCTTGCTGGAAATTAACATTTGACTTCCCCTGAGACGAAAGTCTCACCTTATCTACATTTCATTCTCTCTCTCAGGGACACCTAAAACTCACATATATGGTTTAATGTGGATGATTATCATTGAGTATTATGTTTAGTATCATTTAAAATGTATCAGTGCGACTGGTACAAATGTCTCATTTCCAAATAAGTAAAACAAAAGGTAATAAGGTTTCTAAGAGTTTAGAGATAACATACACACAAAGGAGGGTGGATGGCTAAACCCTCCTGCTCTCAGAAGGTGTTAACTCAATGCTAATTCCCACTGTTAGCAAATGGTACCATGTAAATCAGGGGTCTCAAACTCAACTTAACTGGGGGCCGCTGGAGGTAGAGTCTGGGTCAGGTTGGGCCGCATAAAGTATTCCACAAAAAAATAGTATTCAAGTATTCCAAAAAAGGAGCACAACTGATCCAATCTTCTCAATATTTATTATTAACGTTTCTTCTGAACTGTTCCTCTGAATTTGAACATTCCTTTCTGTACATGATTGGTTCTTCATGAGCTGTCCTTCTGACAGTTGAAGTTCATTTTTTACAAACTTTCTTTGTCTATAACACATATTTGTGATATTTATATTTGCTTATGTCCTTTTTATTTTCTTTATACAACACATTAATGATATTGAATGTTTTTTGTTTTTTTGGAAGGCACATTTCCTTTTATTATACTTAGAAAAACAATTATTGCTTTTGAAATACAAATATTTGCAGTCATGTCAGCCCGTCTTATTGAGTTCTTTCTACACATGTATAGTGTCTCAAATTACTGACTGCACAAATCAAAGCAAACCTTCTTATCAACCTGTTGGACACATATTACAAGCTCAAAGTGATTATTTTCAGTTTTCACATTGTTTTAGAGCAGAGGTCTCCAACACGTCGCTCGCGAGCTACCAGTAGCTCGTGGCCTGATTGGTGGCACCTCGACAAGGGGCCGTTCACATATCGCGCTCACATATTTTGCGCGCTCAAGTTCGTTATTTCAAATGTAGGCGCGCGGCAAGCGCGCTCATAATTGAAGGGACGCGCTCATTTTTTCCAGGCGCAGTATGTTTGTACTTCGCGGTTGTCTATGACAACTATTGACAACAAACCCACCGTAAGCTGTCACGAGACTATCTATGGTAGACCATAAGGGATAAAAAAATATATATATTTTTTTTTAAACGCGGCACACGCAACGACGGGCCGCACTAACATTAAACTTTAATGTCAAGTAGGGGGCCACAAAATATCACCCTGCGGGCCGCAAATGGCCCGCGGGCCGCGAGTTTGAGACCACTGATGTAAATCAACTTCTGCCCCCAGTAAGTCTGGGAGGGTGATCACAGTAAATTTCCACTGTGAACTCATGTTTACATATGAAATGAGGTCTGGCTATATAATGAAATGCAACTAGAAATCAGGGCTTTTTCTGTACTTCAGATGAGCCCGTGACTGAGAGCGCCGAGTCTCTCAGCTTCATGTATTTCCTAATGTCGGGTTCGTCTTCTCTTTATTCCAGAGCATTTTATGTTTTGTATTGATTATCTTTAACTGATTATGAAATTGGAAAGATAAATTTACCTGACATAATAAATTGTTACATTTGATGATTCTAACTGACTTTGATATTATTTCATTAGAGTTAAAAGGAATTAGTCAAACTTTAGCTTATATTTAATGATGCACAGATATAATTAAAAACCTTTTCATTTATGGAGTCAGATGAAATAACGAGAGAATACATATGAAACATGTATTGCATTTAACCCACAATACTTTGCCACGAGAAAAGACAGTAATACGCAGAAACCTTCACCCGCTGACCGGATGCCTCCATTGGACCGATCGAGCCGGGCTTTACAAAG